GGGGGGGTTCTGGGGTGCGAGCGGGCCCTGGGTTTGGCCAGGCAGGGGGCTTAGAGGTCGCTGGGAGTCTAGGAACCAGGCCCTGCCCTGTGTTCCGAGTATTCCACCGTACGTTCTCCTGTGAGTCACCTATAGGCGCCCCCTCCACCCCGCCCTGCCCTGCCCAGGGTGGATCTGTGGCAGGTCCAACAGGGAATGTGTTTTCAAATCCTACCCTTCCCTGTGTGACCTTGAGCAAGCTGTTTTACTTCCTTTCTGTAAAATGGGTACAATGATCAGAGCTGCCTTAATTCATCCTGAATTGATGGCAGACACTGGTGTGGCTGTTCATAGGGGCCCCACATCCATCTATGAGGAATATGGCATGGATTCCCCATGGCCACTCTAAGAAATGGGAAGTAGGATGGTCCCCGTTATAGGGAGCACTGTTGCTGTCATAACTGTTATGTTGTTATCAGTCATCTTGCTGCTCCACCTCTCCACAGGTTGGACAGTCAAAAGCCGCACTAGCTTTAGCAAGATCTCCAGCGTCCACCTCTGTGGCCGCCGCTACTGTTTTGAGAGTGAGGGTGAGCTGGTGTCCCCAGGCCAGGGTTGGGGGAGGCCCCTAGGGTTGTTCCTGGTGGAGTTGACAAGCCTGCTCTTATAGGTGACATCCAGCGTTTCCAACAGGACTTCGTGTCCCGCCTGTGGCTCACATACCGCCGGGACTTCCCGCCCTTTGCTGGGGGCTGTCTGACTTCAGACTGTGGCTGGGGCTGCATGTTACGAAGTGGGCAGATGATGCTGGCACAAGGCCTCCTGCTGCATTTCCTGCCCAGAGGTGAGGGGTGGAAGGGGAAGGGCACACCAGGAGTATGAGCCAACCACATAGGTCAGCAGTGTTAGAATTGTTTGTAACTAAAATTTAAAGTCATGTTAGAATTGTGTATAAAGTAAGTTTTGTGAGGGAGTTAGAGTTGTTTATAAGTTTCAGGAATGTGAAAATTGTTAAGCATGGAGTCCGAAGAGCAGAATTGTGTGTAAAGCATGAGTCAATGGGAACTGTGCCCACACACACCAGCACTGGTTGACTATGTACTCCTTCCCCACCAGACTGGACATGGGCCGAGGGTGCAGGCCTGGGCCCCCCTGAACGGTCAGGGTTGTCCTCTCCCAATCGACACCATGGGCCTGCCCACCGGAAGCCCTCACGCTGGGCCCAGGGCACCCCTGAGCTGGAGCAGGAACGCAGGCATCGGCAGATTGTGTCCTGGTTCGCCGACCACCCCCAGGCCCCCTTCGGCCTGCACCAGCTAGTGGAGCTCGGACAGAGCTCGGGCAAGAAGGCAGGTGACTGGTATGGGCCATCTCTTGTGGCACATATACTCAGGTGAGGGCCACAGCAGGGGACATGGGAGTCACTGGGTACCCCAAGGAACTCAAGCCTTTCTTCTCGCCCCCAGGAAAGCTGTGGAGAGCTGCTCAGAGGTCACCCACCTGGTGGTGTATGTTTCTCAGGATTGCACAGGTAAGGGGCTGCTAACCAGTGTCACTGGGTTCTCATCCTGAGTCAGTCACTACTTCAGCTTCCTCTTAGGACCCACCTTTCTCAGAGGCTGAAAGAAGTTCTGGGTCAAAGAGATCCTTCAAAAGGATTCAAGGCCTACTCAGGGAGATGCTCAGGATTCGTCTACTCCCTCTAGATCCAGGAGAGGAAACTTCAGAGGCTTCTCCCCAAGTGATAAAGGACATAAGGACTTATTTCTCTCAGACCCAATTAACTCTTACTCTGTAAATAGTTCTGACATGTACAAAAGTCTGGTCTCCTCTGCCTTGTAGGGTTGTCATAAGAATTAAGTGAGTCAATAATACAAGTTAAACCTGTAGAGCAGTGCTTGTCACATAGCAAATGTTCACTAAATATTAGCAATTACTATTATTATCCCCTACCACCCTCCAAGTCTGCCTATGTCTTAATTAAAAGGAGCCTCCATGGATTGGTATCAGGGAATCTACAAAAACTAAATTTTTATGCAAAATTGTAGGGGTTTGGGACAAGCCTGGATTTTCACAGAGCGCTATTGTCTTAGTCTTTTTGGGCTGCTATAACAAAAATAGCACAGACAAGGTGGCTTATAAACAATAGGAATTTATTTTTTATAATTCTGGAGGCTGGGATATCCAAGATCAAGGTGCAGGCAGATTCGGTGTCTGGTGGGAGCCCACTCCCTGGCTTGCTTTGCTGTGTCCTCACATGTCAGAATGGGCAAGAAAGCTCTCTGGGGTCCCATCTTTGCTTTTTTTCCTTTCAGGTATAATCAACCTATAACAATATATCAGTTTCATGTATACAATATCATGATTTGATATTTGTATAGAGGATGTGGCAAAAGCAGGCTTACAGTTTTTCATATGGAAAATAATGCAATAATTAATAAATAATAATAAAAGAGTAAATTCCTTTTCGCGTACACACGACTATAAACCTACTCTTGCCTGACCCTGTACATTGTGAAATGATTACCACAAGAAATCTAGTTAACATCGATCACTATACATAGTTTTAAAAAATTGGGGGGTACCTCTTTTATAAGGGCACTAATCCCACTCTTGAGGGGCCCACCCTCAATGACCTAATCACCTCCCAAAAGCCCCATTCCTTTATGCTATTACCTTGGGGTTAGGATTTCAACATATGAATTTTTGGGGGACTCAAGTATTCAGATCATAGCAGCTGTGTCTCCAGAAAGGGTTGAATCCACTTCTCTGGGCACCAGCAGGGGAAGAGGGGGAGAATGAACAGCAGCAGATTGGACTTGAGGAGGAGGAACACATAGGGACATTTGGTTGAGGACTGCTCCGTGCTCCCATTTTCATATTGGCAAACCCAGATGCCGAGTCAAAAGAGGACCAGTCAAGCCTCAGATCGGGGATAGGATCTAGGCTTTGGGGAAGGCTTCACCTCCTCCTGGCTGTATGTTCTTCATTCAACTCTCAGGGTGTTGGTTGCTCCCTGTAAAAGGGGGCCCCTGGGATTGTCTAGGGGAGTTTGGGGCTCTGGAAAGACTTCCTTCTCCACTGTCAATGGGAGTGTCACCCCCCAAGGGGTTGCTTGGGAAAGATTGAGCCCCTGTGGATGGAGGGCCACACTCTGAAGCTTGAAGGGTGGCAAGAAGATGACCTTCTGCCCTATCCTTCCAGTGTACAAGGCAGATGTGGCACGCCTGGTGGCTAGGCCAGACTGCGCAGCTGAGTGGAAGTCTGTTGTCATCCTGGTGCCGGTGCGGCTAGGTGGCGAGACTCTCAACCCCGTGTACGTGCCCTGCGTGAAGGTAGGTTCAGCCAGAGTCACCATGCCTCCTCCCCAAGGAGCCCTCCAGGTTTTTTCAGCTTGGGTTAAGTATATGTCCTTTCTTCATTCCTTTATCTGTTATCCAATAGTTATAGGGCATCTATTATGTGCCAAGCACTCTCCCAACTTCTGAGGATTCAGAAGTGAACAGGCAAACATTTGTGCCTTCTGGGAGTGAACATTCTAATGGCAGGCAGTGGATCTGGAACCAAATAGACAGCTTTGGCATTACAACTCAGACTGTAAAGGAACGAAAACTAGTCATGAAGGGTAGATGGGGGTGGCTGCACAACCTAGGAAAGCCCCTCTCTTGCCAGGGCACATGAAGAGCCAGAGGAGGAGTGTTCCAGGCAAAGGGAACAGCAAGGCTGGAAAGACCCTGGTGTGTTTACACTCAGAATAAAGGCCAGAGATCTTCCCACAGTCCATGGGTCCCTGTCCCTTCCTTCACCTCATCTGCTCCCACTCTCCTCACTTGCTCTGCTGCACCCACACAGGCCTCCTTACTGTTCTCAGAACACACCTGCCTCAGGGACTTTGCACTTGCTATTTCCCAAGATGCTGAAATGTCATCTTGCTGAAACATCACCTCCCAGTGAGGCCTTTCCTGACTCCCATTTATAATTTCAAAGCCCCCCCTCCGCCTTTATTCTTTTCCCAGTGTAATCACCTTCCGACACATAATTCACTCATCTTGTTCCTTGTTTGTCTAATACATGTCAGCTCCATAAGACAGCACCTCTCTTGGTCACTGCTGCTCCCCAGGGTCCACATTGGGTGTTTGCTAAGTATTTATTGAGGATCTGTCTCACAGCACCTGCCATGAGTCCTCACCTTTGCCCACTCTCTTCCCTATAGGAGCTCCTGCGTTCAGAGCTGTGCCTAGGCATTATGGGGGGCAAGCCGCGGCACTCACTGTATTTCATCGGCTACCAGGGTAGGCCTGCTCCATCTCATTCCATCCTACCTCACCTTCTTCCCCACTCCCACCCCCACTTACACTTCCTCCCTTGCAGATGACTCCCTGCTCTACCTGGACCCCCACTACTGCCAGCCCACTGTGGATGTCAGCCAGGCTGACTTCCCCCTGGAGGTGAGCTGGGACCACCAGGGTGGGGTTGGGGGCATGTGGAGGAAGTTGGGGCCCCTGAGATCCCCTCCTTTGTCTACCTCAGTCCTTCCATTGCACCTCACCCCGCAAGATGGCCTTCGCCAAGATGGACCCAAGCTGTACTGTGGGGTTCTATGCTGGAGACAGGAAGGAGTTTGAGACACTGTGCTCAGAGCTGACCAGGGTGAGCAAGAGGAATGGTGGAGGGTGGGAAAAGAGTCAGGGCTGGAGTGGGAGAACAGAGGCCTTGAGGCCAGCAGACCTGGGGAGGTTGCTTCCAAGCTGTTGTTGAGATTATCATCCAAGTTACAAAAACCCAACTCTGAATAGGCCCAAAAAGGGTGCATAATATGAAAACTTAGGGGCTTTGCTGCCTTGGAGGACAGCTGCACTTAGAAACTCAAGTGGCAGGACCCTCCCTCTCTCTTGGCTCTACTGTAGCATCAGGGCTTTACCCTCGTGGTGGTAAGAGTTGGCCGTCAGCCTCTCTGGGCACCGACCTCCCAGTTCAGTGGAAAGGGAGCCCCACTTTCTCAGCACACAGTAAAATCCCAGGGCTGCCTTTCATTGTCTGCACTGGGTTACATGCTTATCACTGAGTCAGTCATAGTCCTGGGGAATAGAAGGTACTGATTGGTTGGCCTGAGTCATTGCCCTGGAGGGATGGGAGTTCAGGAAGCACCTTTTAAATATACCTGTTAGGATAACTATGTCTATAGGATAAGTAACTGTGGCTACTGCTTTTGGGGCTGAGCTGCTCTCCCTCCTTCCACCAGGTTCTCAGCTCCTCCTCAGCCACACTGCGGTACCCCATGTTCACTCTGGCTGAGGGCCATGCTCAGGACCACAACCTAGACCTCTGCTCCCAGCTCTCCCAGCCAACTCTGCAGCTCCCTCGCACTGGGCGGCTCCTCAAGGCCAAGCGCCCAAGCTCTGAGGACTTTGTGTTTTTATAAAGGGATGGGATGGGGGACAAGATAGGACAAACACTATTTATTTTTTTATTTATGTCACACTGGATGTGGGAGCTTGAACTCTGGTGGTGAGGGTACTTTCGATAAGCGCAGCTGAGACCAGCCCAGGAAACCTCCAGGCTGGGGCCATTAAGCCAGAGACAGAGCCCACAGGCCTGCCTCCTGCCACTTGGGCCCTCCTCACAAGGCAGGGAGGGATGGCAGGCGGGCTCCCAGGCACCCACTCAGGGCCTGACTTAAGTACTGTAGTTTGCACTGGACTGCCCACACCCCTTACTGGTCTCTAAGCCCCTGTCCTGCCAAGGGCTGGTGGTGGTGTGGGAACTGTGGCTGCTGGGGGCCAATAAAGCCATCTGACTTGACCTCAGCAATGACTAGACCTAGCACTTGAGAGATGGGAGTCAGGGTATATTGCAAAATGAGGTGTCCAAGTCTCTTAGGGAGCTTGTTAAGTAGTCCTCAGCTTCTACATCTGAAAAATGGGAATTCTCCTTTGCCCACAGAGAGACATGTGGGTCTATACAGTCAACAAGGGATGCATTCAGTGGCCTGATTGAAGGGAAGGAACCTGGGGGCCCATGCCTGCTCCATAGAGCTCAGGGGCAGCTCTTGGGCCCCTGCTGCTTTCTCCGTTTCCGGCCCAGCAGACGGAAGTGCAGCCTTTTTGGATTGAGGCCGAAGGCCTGCAGTCTCTGGCGGCTGAATTCCTGTCCTCCAAGCGTCACTGTGGGGCCCAGGAGACGAGCCTTCTTGCCCCTCCTCCGCCTCTGGGGGGCTGGCTTCTCAGTGGGTGACACAGGGGCCAACTCTTTCTGTGCTGTGGGGCTCTCAGGCTGGGGCTGCTTCCCGCAGGTCCCATTGGATGCCAGGAGCTGTCCCTGTGGGTCGGCTTTGTCTCTCTGTGGCTTCCCTGTGGCTTCTGTGGGTGTCTGTGTCCTGGGGGAGGAAAGTCAGGGCTCAGCCTAAGCCAGCACGATTAGGCCCCTTCCCAGGTGCACATCCCCCATTTTACAGATGAGGAAAGGAGAGACTCAAAGAGATGACAATACAGTAATTCGGGTGCCTGCCTAGAATTCACACTGGGGTCTGACACCAAAACCAGGGTTTTTCTACTGAACCCTGAGGCTGGACTGTGTTGCTGATAATTCTGGTATTTGAGCCTGGGCTTATACTAAGCTAGTCACATAAATTAACTCATTTCATCTTTAAATCAACTCTGGGAATTACTATCACCCCGGTTTTATAGACCAGGAAATAACATGGTAACAATAGTTAAAATCTATACAGCACTTTCTATGTTTCAAGCACTTCACATGCACTTATTCACTTAATCCTCAAAAAAACCCAACACGAAATGAGCCATCTTTACCCCCATTTTATAAATGAGGAAACAGGCTCTGAGAGGGGAAGTGACTTGCCCAAGGTCACAGCTATAGCCCAGCCAAGATTTGAACCCAGCTCTCAGAGAGGGGGAGGGCCCAATCCCAAAGTCATGAAACAAATGGCTGACAGAACGAGACTCAAATCCTGGCCTGGTGGACTCCCCAGCCCGCCCTCCCCTGGCAAGCAACACTCACTCCTCTGGGCAGAGTGATTTGAAGATCTGCCTCTTTTTCCATGAGTTCTGGGCCTTCTGGCTGTATGCCTTCTTGTCCTGCAGCTCCTCCTGTTCTGACCTTTGGGTGCCCAGTGGACACGCCTGTCATTTGGTGCTCTGGGAGATGCCCATGCATGCTTGCTGCCCCTCCTCCCAAACACCTGGCCCAGCCCCACCCCGTCACCTATACATGCAGGTTTTCTTCAGGGAGCACCACCGGTTCAGCTCCTTGTCATCAGCAGCAAGGATCTGCAGGGGAAGGGAAAGAGGTCCTGCTGCATGAACCCTCGGGTGGGGGGCAGGGCTCTGACTCAGCCTTAGTCACCTCATCAGCCAAAGCAGGGTAATGTCATAGTATCACCCAGCAAGGATGTCATGATGGTGGGAGAGAACCGATGTCTTGTGGAGGCAAATCCATGTTTCATCAGAGGGGGGAACGGGTTCAGAAAGAGGTTCCTTGCCCCAAGCCCAGGAAGTGGCTTATTTCAGATTCCAGGGCCTGTAGCCCTTACCCATGCACCATGGTCCCAGCAGCCTCAGAGCAGGGGTCTCTATGCCAATCACTGTATTTGCTAATTATAGATGAAGCCCAGGTTCTCAACCTCCAGGCTCCTGCCTCCAGGCTTCAGTTTCCTCATTTATGAGGTGGGCATCCCCTCAGAACCTATTGGAAGGTCGTCAAGAAGACTGAGTAAAATGCAGGTAGTATAAGCTAAATAAACATCAGCTATTTTTACTGACCATGAATAGTCAAGCACCCATAGCCATCATGGACAGCTAAGGAACAGGTGTCATCTAAAGAGCCATACATCGTTTCAGCTCTACAGCCATGAGGTGGAGGCTATTAGGCCTATTTCATAGATGGGAAACTGAGGCACAGAGCTAAGTTCAACGTCACATAGCTTGTGAGCTAAGGCAGAGTTTGAACCCAGGCCATCTGGTTCCAGAGCCCACCTAGTCTTTTTTTAACGCTCACCTGGGGATATTTTTTCCATTGATTTTTAGGGAGAGAAGGGAGGTGGGAAGAGAGAAAGAGATATCATTGATGTGAGAGAGACACATTGATTGCTTGCCTCCCACATGTGCCCCCACCAGGGCTGGGGACTGAACCTGCAATCCAGGTATGTGCTCTTGACCTCCTGGGAACTGAACCTGCGACCCCTCTGTGCACAGGCCAACACTCTACCAATGAGCCACACCAGCCAGGGCCAGAGCCCACCTAGTCTTAGTGGCCACCCTGCTGCACATATATAGTAACAGAATAAAGGTACAGTTGACCCCTGAACAACATGGGTTTGAACTGCATGGAACCATTTATGTGTGGAGTTTCTCAATAAATACAATATTTTCCTTATAATTTTTTAACATTTCTTCCGTTTATTGTAAGAATATAGTAAATAATATGTATAATATACAAAATATATGTTAATCAACTGTTTATGGTATCAGTAAGGCTACCAATCAACAACAGTCAGCCTTCCGCATCTGCAGAGGTTGAATCCACAAATGCAAAACCCACAGCTACCAAGGGCCAACTATTAGTTGAGTTTTTGGGGAATAAAAAATTATATGCAGGCCCGGCCAGCGTGGTTCAGTGGTTGAGCACTGACCTATGATCCAGGAGATCACGATTTGATTCCCAGTCACAGCACATGCCCAGGTTTCGGGCTCCATCCCCAGTGAGGGGCTTGCAGAAGGCAACCAATCAATGACTCTCTCTCATCATTGATGTTTCTCTCTCTCTCCCTCTCCCTGAAATCAATAAAGATATATTTTTCAAAAATTATATGTGGATTTTTGACCACACAGGGGTCAGCGACCCTAACCCCCACATTGTTCAAGGGTCAATGTAATATTATTTACAAAGGGCTATTTGAATCCCCACCCACCTCATAGAAACCCTTTGAGGCAGGAAATATCAGTACTGTCATTAGCACTATTTTTCCTGTCATTTTTGATACGAGAAAACAGGTCATGGGGGAGCAATCACTGGCTCAGTGCTCCCACTTGCCTCTTGGGTGCCTCCCAGTGTCCCACGCCCAACCAGGCCCTACCTCTTCCGTGCTGAGCCCAAAGTCGCAGGGCACCACAGTGCGGTACTTGAAGCGACAGGGTAGGTCATCAATGATGTCCTCATAGTCTAGCCGGTAATACTCATCCAGATATTCCTCAAATGTCTTGTCTCCTGTGTGGTTAGAGAACTAGGCTGCTGCAGTGTGCTGGCCCAGCAGAGCCCCTCCTTGCCCACCGCATGCCCACTGGGCCTCACTGGGGTTGAACACAGGCTTCTCCTGCCCCACAGCCACAGCAAAGGGCGACTTGCGCTTCTTCTTGCCCATTAAGGGGGCCTCACGCTGCTTCTTCGGTGGCTGGCTGGGGTCATAGTCAGCATCCATCTGCCAATACATGCAGGTCAGGCCAGCCCTCGCAGCCCTTGGGACTTTCCAAGCCAGCCCCCAACCCCCTGCCCATGGCACCTACATTGAAGTCTGGGTCCTCACAGTGCAGCTCCTGCTGGCTCCAGTCTCCACCCTGCTCCAGCCCAGTCCACGTGTCCCAGTTCCAGTGGTCTGGTTCCAGAGGACAGACAGAGGACAGGTAGGGATAGGCCCGGAGGGCTCAGGATGGGACCTTAGGCTTTAGGCCTAGCACTTCTACCCCAGTGACCTCACCTTCAAACCCTTCCTCTTCCTCAAATTGTGGCTTCTCCTCCTCCATCGTGCCGTAATACTCGTCCCCGAAGCATTTCTGCAGGGCCAGGAACCAGGAGGGTGAGCAGGGCCCAATCCCTCTGAGACAGCTTTCCTCCTGCACTTTACATGGCTCCCTAGCACCCTCACAAGACCCAGCTCCTGAAGTGGGCCTGACAAAGCTGGTCAAAGGACTCTTCTAAGACCCCCACCTCCCCCTGCATGTCTCTATCACCACTCAGAACCCTGCAGATTGTGACCATAAAGTTAAATGCCTGCCATTATTGAGAGGGCAGGGACCTCTATGCTGCCTGGTGCTTGGCATACAGTGGATGATCAATGAATGTTAGACTGGTTCTCACCACTCCATGAGCTCCAAGAGGGCTGAAACCCCAGTACCCAATTCAGGGCCTGACAGATAAAGGCAGATATTGCTAAACATTTATTGAGCACCTACTATATCCCCAATACTGGCTACATCTCACATTTGCACAAGCACCCCAAGACAGAAAGGAGCTCCAGTCTATGGAGAAACTGAAGCTCAAGACTGAGAAGCTTCGAGAAAGTGAAGGCTAAATGGCAATTACATAACACTCCCACTCTGGTTTTCAACTGGACTACCTATACATCCTCAGTCCCCTTCCCTGACTTCCCAGGCTTGGTTAGGGGCCCCTTTGGGGCCCCCGTGGTCCCCACTGCTCCCCACATAGCCCTCATCACATTTCTATGGCCTGGTGTTATATTCCTACAAATATAACAATAAACAGTAATGGCACAATAAAGGGGTTTAAAGGAAGTACAGCAACCTACTGTTCCTTGAGCACTTACCAACTAAACTTTTATGTGAATTCCTCTCAAACTATCCTTGCAACAGCTCTGAGGTAGATGCTATGGTTAGACCCACTTTACAGACAGGGACAAAGGCTAAGAGAGGTCAAATCACTTCTCTGAAGCCACACAGCCAAGAAATGATGACTGATTCCAGAGCCATGCTCTTGAGATTTGGCAGCATGGATGGGCCTGGGTGTGAGTGCCACACCTGCATAAGCTGGTCATGCCGGGTGGGATCAAAGTC